GGTAGGGTGGAGGGACAGCGCAGAAGGGGAATGCCCCCTATGAAGTGGATTGATTCAGTGATTGGGGTAATCGGGATGGATGTGTTAGAGACGGTGCAATTGGCACAAGACAGAGCAGAGTTTAGGGCTGTTGTACATAGGGTTGCTATGAGTCTCAAGCGACTCGACGGCACCCAACAACAACAACAACATTAACTGTACCATTTTATTGTTCCACAGTTGGTGTATGAGAATTCTAATCCCTTCACATCTCAGTACCATTCACTATTTTCTGTCTTGTGAAACTTTGCTATTGTTGCTGGAGTAAGATGTCTCTTTGTTGTTTTGAATTGCATCTCTAATAGATCTCTAGGACATTTTTTTTACTCACTATCTTTCTTTTGTATCGTTAGCCTTCATTATATTTTTAAGCTGTGATCATCCAGTAATGATACTGAGTTAATATTGTTAAAAATGTGAATAATTTCATAAGCACAAGGTATACACATAGACTTTCACATTATAGTTATTGATTTATTAGGCTTATCTCAACACAAAGTAACTTCATAACAAATCTCAGTAGCAACTGTATTTAAATGAACTATTATTGAAGAGGAGGTTTTTCAGTAAGTGTTCCTATAAGATTGCTGATGAAAAGGAATGTGGAGCCATTGTGCTCTCTTCTCACTTGTGTTTTTTTACTATTTCAGAACTTCGGGAAACGAGGACCTCTGAATATTTCAGCCTCTCTCACCACCCATTAGACTACAGGATCTTATTAATGGATGAAGATCAAGACCGGATATATGTGGGCAGCAAAGATCACATTCTTTCCTTGAATATTAACAATATAAGTCAAGAGCCTTTGAGTGTAAGTTTATCATTTTTATGAGTGTAATGTTGATCTTGTAGATAATATTTTTCTTTAAATATTTCACTTTAAATGAGAAGCAATATATAGCTTATTGGGTCAAAAATAGGAAAAAAATGTCCACATTTTATTAGGGCTTATTTCATGCTCTGAAAAGATAGTAAGCCCAGTTCTCCCTGTCTAGTTTCATAGTTTCTAAAGATCTAAAACCTGTGATTCATGAGCAGAGAATTGCTTCATATGCTTATAAACTAGTTGCTGTTAAGTAAATTTCATCTCATGGTGATGCCATGCATATCATAGTATAATTGTATTACATAGAGTTTTCAGTGGTTCATCTTTCAGAAGTAGATTGTCACCCTTTCTTCCATAACATCTATAGGTGGATCCAAACCTCTGATATTTTTAAACATGTTAGCTGTTTGCACCACCCAGTGATTGTATATAAAGAAATACAGATACATGTATGTATGTATATATGAATAAATATGTCTTATGTGATATACATTTTATATATATATATATAGTATTCTAGCTCATGACTACACTTGGGCTTCAGTGTCAGAGGAGATCTATAAACCATTAGGTTTTTTCTAGTGTTTAACTCTTCAGAAGTAGATTGAGTGGCCTTTGCTCCCAGCCACCTCTGAATGACCTTGAATCTTCAAACTTTTGGTTAGTCTGGTAAACCATTTGCACCATACTGGGAGTCTATGCGTGTGTATAGAAAGAGAAGCATAGAGAAGAAAAAAAAAAGAGAGAGAGGGAGGGAGGGAGGAATGGAGGAAGGAAGGTAGGTTGGAAAGGAAAGCAAATTGTTAAATTCAATGCTGTGTTAACAAGTGTGACCTGTATTGGTCATGCTATTAAACGACAAGAAATTAAAATGAGTTTTCTTGAAGGAGAGAAATAAGTCAGTTGATTTTCAATTTATTACATCAGAGACTTCTGCATTTACCATTTTAACAGTGAACAACAGACTGCCCCCAAAAAAAGAATCATTACTGCCACACATGGCACGGGCAGAAAGTGAGTTAGAAGGCTAGCACCATGTTAGTTAGAGGTGATTTCTTGGTTATCATCTATTTTTTTAATTGTTATTAAATTTTAATAGTTTTAATGAACATTTACAGAAATTTTGGGTTTTCATTCATTCATTGTTTCACTGTATTCTCTACCCTCCTCCCCAGTTCGTTCTTCTTCCCCCCACCCCCCGAATGTCTGTTTTAGTTGTCCAATTGCCACAGTGCTTGTCAAAGCCAGTTCTGATGGTTATAATCTATTTTAGTGATTAGTATCACTGGATCTGTTTCAAGAAAATCTGACTAGTCGGACTGTGTGACCAAAAATTATATTAAACAGGGATATCCATATAAATATAAATGTCCTATGACGTAAACAATTGGGAAAAGTATGCTGCCAGTCAAAATATAAGAACAGCATATGTAGTCCATATTTATATTCATGATTACATTATTTTTGTCATTAGTTAATCACATATATTGTTTTAAAGACTTGTTAGACAATTGATGGAAGATGACAATAGTTATAATAAACAAAATACCAATTAACTTATGTTCATGTTCATAAGGCTAAAGAAGAAAGAATTTTGTAAATACAAGTATAGCTAGACCTCAAAAGAAATCTGTTAGCAGTAAGTGAAGAGCACTGAGCTGTCATATATCCGGGTGAAATTATACAGCCTTTATTTTCCTTTCTGAGCAGGTTTTCTGGCCAGCATCTACAATCAAAGTTGAAGAGTGCAAAATGGCTGGCAAGGATCCCACAGTGAGTGTTTGAAAGAAAAGGGGGGAAAAATACAACTTAAATATTTAGTGTTTAAGTCAGTGTGTCTTGAGTGCAGCCAAGAGTGAAAGGGTGTTGGTGTTTTAATTCCTCTTCTGGCCACATGGTAAAAATGTAAATGCAGAAAGACTGGAACTCACACACCATCTGCAACTTTGGAATTCCTGACCCAGTAAAAATCTCCCCGCCTTGCTTTCATTATTGTGCGCTGACACTTTTCATGATGGATTTCAGTAATAACCCCTGCTCCAAGTGGATCCAACCTGCAGAATTCTCAGCAGGCTTCTGAAATTATGATAATGAAAATGTCTGGAGCTGCTCCCAGATACCATGTGCGTTTCTCCAAAGAAAGATGCTCTGCAAATCAGTAGTGGCTAGCCTGCACATTCCAGAACCATAACTCACCTCCAGTGAACAGAACCACTGTTTATTTAAAATGCTCATAAAAAAACACAATCACAGCGGATAGGAGTATCCATTAACATACAGAAAGGCACGATTTGTATTTGTGTAGGTGGGATTAAATGCAGTGAATCAAGGAAGAAATAAATTTAATTTCTTCAAATGACTTGCTGAGCCAATACATTAAATTTTTCTTGAATATTATAAAAGAAATATATAGAACCCATATTTAATACTCATACATAATTTCATATTTATAATTAAGTACATATATGTCATTTTACCTCAAATGATGAAAAGATTTATGTAACTGAATGAACTACAAAATATTCTACTCCTTCACAAATAATTTTATAAAGAGATTCATTTACTCAACAAATATCTACCCTGTCTCTTATGCCCACCCTTAAACACATACAGGATGAGGTCTAAGGTTACAGCATCACAGCTTTAATTTAATAACACAAGTGTTGGCCCAGCTATGCAATAGAGGCAAGAAACCTTCACTGTAGGAATGAAGGCTTAATTCTGAGCCTTCATGCTTCTGAAGGTCTTCAAGGTAGCTCAAACAGAGAAGAAGACTACTCTTTAGGGAAGATAGAAGTATGTAGATGAAACTATTATTTTTATTAACTCTGAAAAACCCAATGCATGGTGGGATCAGGAAAGCCCCTGGAGTATATAACCTTGGGGTCTTATTTTGGGGTAGTCTTGATAAAAGAGACTATCAGGGCTCAGCTTCTAATCTCACTTTTTCATTTTGATTTTTCACCTTCAAGGATGCATGTTAAAAATTGGGAAGAAGAATGTAGAGGGGGGTATTTGCCATCCAAGAGGCATGTTGGACCAAAATCTAGAGGGGAAAAAAAATAACATGAAAATGTGGAAGAAGCAGAAGAGTATATTACAATTGCCTTCTAAGGAACGAATAATAGCATGAAGTATAATATAGCAGAAAAGACTCCCCCCATGAAGATATCATTTCCATAATTATGCATGAATTGAACTATTTTCTTTCATTCTCAAATGTAGATTTTTCCCATTGATGTGTATCCCATTATGTCTTGCCTTTTGCCACAGTAATATCCTGTGGCTATAATTATTGGATTTGATGGTCTTTTGTTCAAAAAGATTTGCATTTCATATCCGTAGAAACTGCTACAGGGATAATGTGTAGGATTTAAATACCATTGTACATTCTCTTTCCAAAAATTGCTATTGACTTGCTGGAGAATCTTAGCCAAGTCATTTGGCTTCTTACTCCCTTTGGCGAAATAGAAATACTCTTGTCATTTGCCTTATGATAATGAAAGGTCACTAGACATAGTTTCCAATGCATGCTTACATTTTTCTCATAATTCTGTCACATTCTAATATCATCCATGGATATCCTTAATATCTGCCAAGAATTGTCTACAAAGCGAAAAGCTAGCTCTCTTCTAGGTGTTGTTAGATCTCAGCTGAACAGGTTTTGTTTGTCCACTCAACATTTTGGGAGCTAGGCAAAAAAAAAAAGAAAAGAAAAAAATAACCAGACTACTTCTTTCAAATACATGTTCTCTCGAGGCAGTGGCAGAGAGTGTCTGAGAAATCTGTCTCACTTCTTCAGTGTGAGATACTTGCAGAGTAAGTGCCCTTTACATAATCTCCAGGAAAATGGCCAGTGATAGAAAACTGATAGGAGGTAGATATTTAGCAGTTCTGCATGACAACTTTGTTAATTATCTAATGCTGCTGTAACAGAATGACTGCAAATGTGTAGCTATAACAAAAAAGAAGTACATTTCCTCACAGTTTAGGAGACTAAAAGTCAGAATTAAAGTTGCCAGTTCTGGGGAGAAGGCTTTCTCACTTTCTGGGTTCTAGATAAAGGCCTTATCTTTTCTCTTTTTTTCTGTTACTCAGTCATTCAAGATCTTGATAAGGCCTTGCTTAAACCTTTCCACACCTCTGCTTGCATCTCTGTGCTTAATCAGCTCTGTTTATTATCTTCAAAACCATTGGCTTAGAATATATTCTACCTTGATATAACTATGTTTGCATGGTAAAGGAACTTTATTCCCAAATGGAGTGGCATCAACAAATACAGAGATTAGGGTATACACCATCTATTTTTTTTAAACACACAATTCAGTCTGTAACAACACATCTTAGTCTTTTTATTAAACCAACTATTTAAAATCTTCTAATTCATTAATAGATTTTGTCTAACTAGTATTTCATTGATAAAAAATAGCAACTGAAATTATTTTAGTTATTGTCAAAATATATGCATAAATAAGATGAAGTTTTTACCTTAAAAGATTTTAAAGTGTGAAAAACAATGTATGCAAACTTTGTAAGTGAACAAGTATAAAATTTTAAATAATAGTTTTGACAATATTAGAAGGTTAGTGACACTTGTATGCAATTATTATCAAATGATGGTCACCAACAGTAAATGGAACAGGAGAGCACTATTCTAAGGGCTTTGTCTTAATCCTCTTAATGCTACAGGATGGACATTATTATCATCATTCACATTTTTACGATGAAGAAATGGAACCACTAAGAGGGTCAGAAGTTTGCATGTGAACCCAGAGGTAGGCAGGTCGAGTCCACTAGGCTGCTCCACTGAGGGGTAAAGAGAAACTATCTCCCCCCATGTGAATTACAGCTTCTGAAAACCTGCTAGAGGTCTACCTATGAGTGGATTTCAGCTCAACTACATTGAGTTTGAGGTTTTCTTGAGACACTGGCTTTCCTCTTGCACTACAATTAAAGGGCACTTATACTGTAAATGTCTCACATATATCAAGTAAAATAGATTTCTCAGAAATCACTTCAGTAGAGAGAACTGGTATTCACAAGAATTGGCTTGACTTTTATTTCTCAGAACAGAATGATAATTGGCAAGAAGAAGAAAACTTTTCCTATTGAAGCTTTTTTTTTAAAAAAAAGATAATTGTTTATTTTTTTTCATTTTTATTTTTATTTATTTTTTTTATTTCAATGAACATCTACAGAGATTTTGGAATTCCATTCATTCATTGTTGCACTTTTCTCCCCGTTCGCTCCTCTCCTTGAAATGCAAAAGAAAAACTCCTTCATTGGTACACAATCCCCCCTGCGCACCCCCCACCCCAAACTGCACCCCAAATATAATCCACTCTGCAACCCTCATTCTGTACTCTAATGATAAACATAACATCCTAAAATATAATACTTTTAAACTACTCTCTCCCTCATAGACTTCAATGCAATAAACGTAATTTATCAAGTTTTCCTCAGGCTTACCCCCACCCCGATGTCAGCCTCATTCTACAAAGTAGCATTTGTCCCTCTATGACTGAGATATTTCACTCAGCATCATGTCCTCCAGTGTCACCCATTTTGAATAATATTGCATGAGTTCCTTGTTTTTCAGTGCAGCGTAGTATTCCATTGTGTGAATATGCCACAGCTTCCTACTGAAGCTTTTAAAAGTGTGTCATTTAAAGCCTTCCAAAAGCTGTGCTGCTGGCTAAAAGACTGCGCCTCCTGGTGGTTCTAGTTCACCAGCCACTCCATGGGAGAAAGTTGGACAATCCCTTCCTGTGTGATTTATAGCCTCCAAAAACTCACTGAAAGGTCATCTGTGAGTTGGTTCCAGCTTAAACAGCTATGGCTTTGAAATTTTTGTATAGCAACTGGTAGAACTTAAAGATATCCTTGAATGATACTAGAATCTGAGACCACTATGGGAAAATAGAGCTGATAATAGATTCCATGTTAAAATTTCTCTTTATTTCAAAAACATGGAAATCTAAATAAACTAGGTGTTTTTCCTCTGATATTCTTTGGTACATGTTTCATGTGAATATAGTCTCTCTACATTACCTCATTACCTTTTTAGCCAAGGAAATAGCTCCTTATCCTTTCAGGTCACAGTACAGGTGTCATTTCTCTGGAGAGTTGTCCCTTCTCCTGGAGGGACTCCTGGCGCCCACTTCCTCTTTGTACACCTTGAACACTGTAGCACCTATTTCAGTTTCATAGCATTTTCAATTCTAACTCTCCCTTTGATGATTGTAAACTCTTCGGCATTGTTTTCACCAGGGCTCAGATCTGTATGTTGCACATAACCGAAACCTGCTACCACCTACCATGGACCCCAGCCCCCCCTTGACTGGGTTTCCAAGACTGTAATTATTTATGGGAGGAGGCCACTCAGCTTTCTCCCTCAGAGCAGATCATGAACTCAAACCACCATCCTTTTGGTTAGAAGCACCACGTATAACTGTCTATGCCATCAGGGCTCCTTACACTGTACACTAGAAAAGTTCAAACTCCCCTTTGGAGGGGAAGTCAAACTCCTTGATCCCTAAGTTGGTTGTGACTCGTAACTGAACCTCCACTGAGGTCCAAGATTGTAAATCACGTGGAAGGTGATTTCTCATCTTCTTTCCACAGAACTGCTGCTGGATTTGAACCTCCAAAGCAGCATGGAATTTAGGCCAGTGAAACACCTCTCTACAGACTGCCACACCAGAGCCCCACACTGTACATACTTGGTTGGTGTTGAGTACTATCCAGTTTGAACCTGCCGACAGCTGACCTCT